CCCCTCGTCCCCACACCCCACCCCTCGTCCCCACACCCTGTCCCTCAGCCAGGCCCACGCCCTCACCGGTGTGGGTTCATGTCACACAGAGTGACCGACGGGAAGAGCTTCCGCTCTGAGTGCACGGACACAGTTGTGATGACCGGGTAGCTCCAGTACTGCTCGAAGAGGAGCCCGAACTGCCAGTACAGTGCGCCCAGGGCGCCCACCAACAGCAGCCCCCAGGACGCTGTCTTCAGGCGGTTCCCGCTGGAGCAGACGAGGCGGATGGCGCCGTGGATGGTGGCGTTGGTGCAGAAGAAGGTGAACAGCTCCCTGAAGGAGGCGTGCAGCTCCAGCAGCCTCTCCCCTCGCCTGTCCTCGGGCGATGGTGGCGGTGGAGGCTGGGCCTGGGGGTACTTCCAGGTCCCGAGTCCCCCACCGGTTGCTTGGACCATGGTTCCAGCCTGCGTCTGAGAAGTGAGCTTCAGCAGGGCCCCAGCCTGCTGCCCGCCTGACCCCCGCCCAGGTCTCCCACCTCAGGCTGGTTGGATTTCCCTTCTCTGTCCTCGGGAACTCCCGGGAGAGTCGTGTTCCTTGGCCACCAACGGCTCGGCCCAGCCTGCTGACGCTCGAAAGAGGCCCCGTCAGAGGCTTGTCCATGCTTGGGACCAACCCTGCGCCACCCCCCGCCTCCTCTGGCATGTCCTATCATGGCTAGAGCTAAGCCTGGGTGGTGGGGGCAGGGACAGCAGGGGATGTGGCATCCGGGCTCCACCTGACCCTGTTTGCAGGCTGGCTTGAGGCTGGGTGGGTCTCTGCTGCCGTCTCCCGAGTGGGACAGGGGCCTCTGGGGAGGTGCAGGCCAGGTGACCTGCTCGGGGTGGAGACCGTTGTGTCTGTGTCCTCAGAGCCCACTCTTGGGGGTCTGGAGGCCCTGGGAAGACTCAACTACCAGCCTCAAAGGCCTCCACCAACCATCGGCGGCCAGCACGGCCATGTTTGATTAGGACTGCCAGAGCCAGGCTGGTCCAGCCGTGTCTGGGCCAAGGGTCAGGCCTGAGGGTTGTTCAGTGCTGTGGGCCCAGGGTGCAGCATCGTCTACCCAGCTGAGCCCCTGGGGAATCCCTGTTCATGGACCTAGGGCTTCAGGAAAAGTGGGTAGGGGACTGGTGGGCCAGCCAGTGGTGGGGACCTGAGGGCCTCAGGGAAGTGGAGCCACGGCCTGCCTGACCCCTAGTCGAGCTCTGGAGGCTCCAGTGTCCCAGGACCCAGGGCCCCCAGACCTTCAGCTCCCCGAGTGCACCAGACATGGGGCCCTGACCAGGCCAGGCCTGCTGGCTCCAGACACGCACTGAGTCACTGCACAGGCTTCCTGTGGACTCCCCACACTGTTCCCATCTTGGTCTGAATCATTAGGCCTCTTGCGCCTGGGGCGCAGCCTCCTGGGCTCCGGCGACTGGGCCCGGGCCGGCACCTTGGGGGCCTGAGCCAGGGGAAGCATCTGCTGCATCTCAGCCGCAGGTGCCCGGCCAGGTGTGCCCGAGCAGGCTGCTTCCATGTGCTCTGGGAACACACATGTTGGAGCAAGCTAGCTGGCTCATGGGGCCCCAGGTATGAAGTGGGGGTGGGTCAAGCTCCCCTGCCCCAGCCTCGGGTTTATGGGCCCCCCACATGCCTGGCGGTTGCCTGGCCAGGAACGTGTGCCAGCACGGGGTGCTGATGGTGGGTCCCACACGGCACAGATCTCTGCCCACGTATGTCCCCATAACCACGGTGACCCCTCGCAGGTAAGGCAAGACCCTCAGCTGTGTGTTACAGGTGAGGCAAAGGGGCTCCGGAAGGTTCTTTCTGACTCCAGTAACCACGTTTCCCCTCCCCAGACGTGTAGCACAGGTGAGCCCCCTCCCTGCTAGCTGGGGCTGCCAGGGCCTGAGGGCGAGCTCAGAGCCTCCAGGGCTTCCCGAGATGGGGTGGGGTCCACACACCTGGGAAAGAGGCCCCAAGATGCCCGGGGTGAATGTGGGCACTCAGACATGGCAGGAGCAGGGGTGTGTGCATGCACACACACTGCTTTCACACGCACCAAGCCGTCAGTCAGTGGGGGCCACGTGAGCCTCCTGCCCTCGCCCTGTGTGTGTCCGCTTGCGGTCACGTGTGGGACACAGCCCCTCCGCTTCAGGCGAGGGGGTCCCCAGGAGATGACCTGCCTGACGGCCCCGCATGGGAGGAGGAGCGCATCACGCCCCCTCGGTACCTCGAGGCTGGAGCCTCCCTGTGCAGGCGCCTCCATTCCCCCGTGGTGGGCGGCCGCAACGGTGGTGGCTCCAGCAGGCGACAAGGCGGGATGTGGCTGACACTGGCTGGGCAGCCTCCTATTTATGACAGGCCGGCTGGGTGTGGGGCAAGGCTGTGGGGAGGGGCCTTGCCAGCGGGGCAGCCACGCCCGCTCTGGACCCAGAAGAGGAAATCTTTGGAGGCAGACACCGGGGGCTCTCCCCTCACCCCTGGGTGAGCCCTTTTTGCCTGGGGCCCAGGAGCAAGGCCTGGGCCTCTTCCCTGGCTGAGGGTGAGGGGCTCGCGGTTTCTGGAGGGAGAGGAGAGGCCCTTGTGGGCCGAGCCCCCTTGGATGCCAGATCCGCCCCTTCCCGAGCAGACCCTCCCTGCTCCTGATGCCCGGATCTCCCACGGGTCAGACGCCTGCCCTTCCTGCTCCCAGCAGGCCCTGGCCCCTCACCTCCCTGCCCGCTGTCCTGCCAGGCCTGGGAGGGACACCTGCTTGCCACTACCTGCCTGGCCCACACTGCCAGCTCTGACCACAGATGTTTGTGGCCAAGGGACACTGGACAGGGGCCTCCACTCCCAGAATCCAGGTCTCCTCAGGGCCAGCCACCCAGCCACTGGGATGGGCGCTCATTGTGGGAGCCACCTGGGGCCTGGGTGTGGAGACGGCACCTGGGGCCTGTGGCATGTGGCTCAGCCTCCCCGCCGGACATGAAGGCCACCACTGACCACAGCACCCACCAAGATGACACACCACCCATGAAGATGACACCACATGTCATGGCCACACACACGCTAAGAACACACACCACACTCGGGTGTGAGGTGGACGGTGTGCTGAAGACAGGCACCCAGCCCCCTGGCCCAGGGAGATCCCCCCATCTCGGCCCACTGGGGGACCTAACATGTCTCCAGGATGACCCAGGGGCCTCACCATCCCAGATGACCAGACCCTCAGCCTAGCCCAGGTTTGAGGGGTTGGCTCAGGCCCTGCCGCCCCATCCTCAGGGCCAGCTCTGGGTTCCTGACATCCCACCCTAAATCAGTGCTGAGGACCTGGGCTGGGATGACGAAGGGAGCCTACATCCTGCTAGGCCCTGCCGGGAGGCCTTGGCTCTGAGGAGGATGAGGTCACTGGCTTCATGCCTTGGGAAGGAGGTAGATGGTCACTGGTGATGTTGGGAGAGGGAAGTCAGGCTTGGGGAAGAGCTGGCCCTGGACTCACCCAGGTGTGGGTGCGAATCACGACTCTGTCACTCACCAGCTGTGTGACCTTGCCCGAGTTACTCAACCTCTCTGAGCCTGTTTCCTCAAGTGCAAAATGGAGTTTCCTCTTCATGCTCGAGGCTCAGAGGTGGGACCAGTTGATGTCACTGGTGCACAGACCCCTCTCTGGGCCAGTGGCAGAGCCCCAGATTCAGTACAGGCCTGGGGCGTCTCAGGCTCTCCACCCCCGAGTGGTTTTCCTTTGGAGGGGGAGGGCCATGTTATCAAGGGGACGAGGCCACGCCACCCTGGGGAAGCCCCTCAGAGGAGGAAGGCCCCAGGCGCTCTGGGTAATCAGAACCGGAGCGACCTGTATCCTTAGCGTCACAGAGGTTGCAAAAGGAGCCGTCTAGAAAGAGGGGCCATAGGAGCCCAGGTCTGGCTGGTGGGTCCCAGCCAGCCAAGGGCAGCTTGCCGGGAGCAGGAGCCCCCGCCTTCTTGTGGGAGATGGAGCCCTGGCCAGGGCGAGGGCTAGCCTGCGAGGACCCTGTCCTCGGGACTCGAGTCACGGCTTGTCCACACAGGAGTACAAACTCTCCTTCCCTCCTTCTGGAGGAACATGTGAGGACCACCAAGGCGCCAACAGAAGGCTCGGGGGCTGCGGGTCAGCATCAGGGTCTGTGCCCGTGCCCGGGCCAGTGGGAGGGAAGCAGGCCACTTCAGAGCCTGCCTTTAGGATGGCAGAGGGGGGCTCCGGGGGCCTCGCCAGGACACAGAGACCATGTCCAGCGGCAGTGAGGCCGGCAGCCCCCTCCTCCCTTCCGGCCTGTCCTCTTGCCTGCCTCCCAGGCCTCGCTGGCCCCTGGAGGAGCTGGCAGTGGAGGCTGGGGCAGGACAGGACATCCCCAGCTCCTGGCACAATGTGGCCCCATGTGCTCACTCCTCAATAGCTGTATGTGGTACCAACGTGAGAATGCCAGAGGGAAGGCACAGGCGATGGCCCATGTCCTCCGTCGGCTCCCGGAAGGACGGCTGGCCCACCCTGCTGAGCACAGCCCATCGGGCCTTCGAGTGGTGGCCTTCACTGAGGCCGGGCTGAGGAGTACAAGGTGTCCCCTTCCAGGCCGGGGCTGCCCTGGAGACTGCAGGTGCCTGGCGTCTCCTGGGACCCCCCGGCTCAGTTTCCTTGGGCGTCCCCAAGGAAACTCAGGGGCAGCTCAGAGTTGGCCTTGCAGGGATTCTGGGGCAACAGATGTGAAGTCTGAGCCCACAGGCTCCGCTTGCTTGCTGGGTTTCTGGTGGGCACAGGCAGGCTGGGGTCGTCCTTCCTGGGCCTGGAGGCTGGCCCATCTGGAGCTCTGCCCCTAGGTGGGTGAGGGGCCTCCTCAGTGCAACTGCAGAGCCTCCCCCGCCCAAGCACTGCCCACAGCGTCAGGCAGGTGCCCCCAGCTGCTGGGGTGGGCAGAGTGTGTGATGCTGCCTGTGTGGGGCTCAGGGTCTGGCCAGGTATCTCCTGCTGCAAGGGGTGGGGTGTGTGCGCACTTGCTCCACGGTCACCTCCAGGCTGGCTCGATGGTGCCCTCCCTTGAGCCCTGGCCAGATAGTCCATTCTGGTCAGAGGAGGTCTCAGGTCCTACTGGGGAGGGGGTAGCAGCAATTGGTGGAGGTGGTTCTCGGTTCTAATCCTTCTCAGTTTCCTCGCAGCTCCTACGACACGGAGGGTGGCCCCTCATCCAAGATGCTCAGAAGCGAATGCCACTGTCTCCTTCCTGCAGCTTGGCCATCTGCAGAGCTTGCTGGCAGGAAGTCCCTCCCAAGGGCCAGTCCCAGCCTCTCCTGCTCCAGAAGGGCAGCTTTGGGGTTTATGAAGGTCCCAGTCACCACCCACCGCCAGCCTAGCTGCCCACTCCCATCCCGACTGCAGCAGCCGCCAGCTCCACGGCCAGAGGGCGGGGCAGCCTGGGTCCTG